TCTTTTTGGGTTCCATTTATGTCCCACATCCTTCATGAAAGTCACTATGATTTCTGCTTGCTTTCTACATTTACTTAAGCAGCTTCTGTGTACTTACGTGCTATGGCAGGGTAAAATGACTAAGATCTGGCTGGTCCTTGTCTTAAAGGAGCTCACAGTCTAGAGCTAAACTGTCCAATACGGAAGGGGCGCCTGGGTGGCTCATTTGGTTAGGCATCTGACTCTTGATTTCAGCTCAGGTAATGATCACAGGGTCCTGGGATCGAGCCCTGCATGGGGCTCCATGCTCAGGAGGGAGTCTGCTTGAGGTTCTCTTCCATCTTCCCCTCCTCCTCTCCTCTGTGCACACACTCTCTCTCTCTCTCAAATAATAAATAAGTAAATCTTAAAAAAAAAAACTACAATACAGTAATCACTAGACACGTTAAAAATTTAAACTTAGTAAAATTAAATAAAAAATTCAGCTCAGTCACAATAGGCATGTTTTGAATGCTCAATGGCCACATGTAGTTAGCAGTTACTCTTTTGATGTACACAGGTATAGAACATTTCCATCATTGCAGAAAGTTCTATTGTACAGTGCACTCATCTAAAGAAAACTGACTGCTACACAATTACAATAAATGAAGTATTTTTACTACTCACTTTGGCATTTAATAAAATGTGACCTTGTGATTTTATTTAATTAGTTCATGTATTCCCCTAATCAAATTGAAAACTCTTTGAGGCCAGATTACGTTTTCTTTCATATGCTCCACCATGACTTACTGCAGCATTAGCTCATTGAAAGTGTTCCATGAATATGAAATGCAATTTTCTATTTGCCATGGAAGGCTTTTTTATAGACAAGTTCTGAGATTAGCTCAAGACCCGGGAGCATACCCTGAATTTAACCCTAACTAGCAATATTGTCTGTTCCAGATAACTTTCTTTAGTACTTGGGTGGTATTAAGTATGATAGGGGTTGTTAGGCTTTGGCTACACATGGGAATCATGTGGAAAGCTTTTAAATCCCGAGGCCTACCCCAGAAACTCTGATTTAATTGGTCTGAAGTGTGGCCTGGCATTGAGATTTTTATACCTACCCCCAGATGATTCTAATATGTGGCCTAGGTTGAGATCCACCAGTAGAAGAGATTGGACCCCCACCCTTCACCTTCAATTCTGCTCACTTACAGCTATAAGTAAATATTACCAGTACATTTAAATTTATCTTTTATATTACTCAGTAATGTTTTTTTCCCTCCTTACAGTTTCTTATCTCAGTCATCACTATGGTACTTCTGACACTGATAACTATCACACTGGAACCTCCTCAGAAACTACCGGACTTATTTTCCGTATTGATTTGTTTTGTATCCTGCTTGAACTTCCTGTTCTTCTTGGTATACTTTAACATTATAATCATGTGGGATTCCAAAAATCGAAGAAATCAGAAGAAAATCAACTAATTCTGTCTCCACAAACAAATGTGAAAGTATTAACAGTGCTTAAAGGTTTTTTTTTTTTAACTTTTTTGCTATGTATAAATGAAATGATCATTTTGAGAATCACATAGGGAAAAAGTGGTGAAAAGTCATTGTTGTCCATATACAAAATAAATGTATATGGGGACCCAAGCCCAGTGGAGGCTTTTATTTTCTAACTATAGAGTGGCCAAGACATATTGTAGTTTTATTAATATTCAGTTATCCAAGTGGGAAAATAAGAGAAAATGCCCTTAATCCACAGTGTTTACTCAGGAAATGTACTCTACAATTTGTTGTCTTAAAAAGAAATCTGCAAATCCAGTGAGCCTACTGGGAAAATCAAGTCCTTCTTTTTAAAGGAAATCATGAATTTTGGTATTTAAATTTAGTTTTTGTTACATTTTAGAATGCAAGTAATGTATATTTCATTCTTTAGAAATTATATCTCAGGGATTAAATTTGTGATGATCTTTTTAATTACTGTGAGAAGGCAATTTAAAGTGCTTGAAGTTTGAACATGCCTTATTACATGTGGAAATTTGATTTCTTTATAAAAAGGCAGAGAGATTAGACCATGTTCTTATTTCCAAAAATGCTAATTTATTTTAATACAATTAAACAGTGAATTTTACTGAATTTAAGTGTTTTTTTTTTTTAATTTCCCATGTTCACTAGTTCTAAACTTCTAGGATCATTCTGTGTAAGTTAAATGGTTTTATACAAGATTTCATCCTTTTGATCTTTTTTGAGTGGTTCAAGATTACCACTTCCATAAGCATTGATTCGTATCATGTTTCATGTTAACTTGGCCCTGTTAATAACGTATATCATTCTATATTAGGAGAAGCTCATCTTTACTATCATATTCAATTGGCAAAAATAATGTCATATCTATGTTATAGTTTCTTATGTAAAGATTGATCTTTTGGGAGGGCAGGGGGAAAAAAAGATGTGTTCTCTTTAGTCTCTGTGTTAAGAATAAAACAATTATTTTCACATCAACCTATGGTTTTTAATGAATATATTTCTTTCATAAGACATCTGTTAAAGTATATTGACTAAGTGGTGATATATTTTAAAACTGAACATATATACACAAAGAAAATCTGGTTCTAGACATGGACAGCCACAGGCCGCAAGAAGGTATGTGCTTCTAAGTCTGATAAAGGAAGTCGGTTTAGACAAAGCAAAAATCAGGAAGTATTTCTTTCTCAAAGCAAATGTGCATAAAGACTCAAAGGGCAGGTCAGCACAGAAAAGCAGCCTTGAATCATTGCCGAATCAGCAGGAACATCGCTGTCCATGGTCACCATCTGTAATCACTGTGCCCAAATGTCAGCATCTTGGCTGGCTGGTGTAGTCCTATTTTTTTATTTTTTGTAATAGCATACATGGGTTTAACACGGGATGCTGATTTAAATCAGTGATGAGGAAGTCCTAGCTTCTAAATAACTGGAGCAGAGAAACATTTAAAAATAAAAGTATATTATATAAATAATAAAGTAGAATGCACCCATATTCAAGGTATCTTAAACGTAAATCCTCTAAATACACGTTTTCCTCAGAAATTTAATCATATTGAGTAACACTGTAGCTTTTATGGAGACCTGTAGCAACTACCTCATAAGTCAAGTATCTCTTATATCCATTAGAAGCCAATTTAAGAAGAGTCCACTTTGACCTTTGAAGGATTAGGTTCCAAAATACCAAAAATGTCCATTGATGAATTAAGATCACAGAAACAGGCAATTCCAAAGTACTTCTCTCAGCTACACTCAGGCTTATTGGGATGTTATAATATAAAGATATTTAGATAATGCAAAAATATTGAAGATTTCTCAGTTACTTCACTAATATATACCTGTCAAGGAATGAACCCTTCCAAGTTACTTTCAAGCTCATTTTAGAGGGAAGGGCTGTTTCTGAGAAATACAGTTTTCTGTTACCAATGAACTTAGGCTTGCTTCTTAAAATGAAGAGCATGTTCATGTATCAAATATGAAGCATACAGAAGCCATTTTCCCTTGAGGCGTTAAGGAGGGGAGAAAAATCCCAGATGTAGCATTCTGTCCAAATGATAAACCACAACTGAGTGAGTGAAACATTTACAAAAGTCAAGGCAGCCAAAGGAGCCTCTCTGTTCAATAGAAAGAGTAAAAGATGGATAGGATGTAACTAAATAATGGTTGGAGTAACACAGGGGTTTCAAGTCTCAATTGGTCTCTTCTGTTACGTTCATTGGAAGATCAGGGCCAAGTGTATCCCCCCCCTCCCCCACCGCCTTCCTCCATGCCATACCCCGCCTTCCTCCATGCCATACCCCCCTCCCCCCCATATAAACATTAGTTTTGTGTGTGGATCTTTCTGCTTTGTCCTTCATGTGGCCTCCAAGGGTGATAAAGCGAGAGTCATCTGATCTACAATGAAGAGAACTGGGAAATGATTCTTAGCAGACCCAGCTGTTCTGAAAGGCAAAAACTTAGTGTATTGAGGTCAAACATACAGTAACTGACTTAATAGCATTAAGCACATACCTACATAACTTGCATTATATATGCAACCAATCTATTTCTTAACCCTTTTTTTCCTGACTAATACAAGTTTCTTTATATGCTTTGGCTTACATCCTAAGGTTAGTTTTCAATGCTAGAACACAAAGGAATTAGCCTTTTTGGTATATTTAGGTAATGTCCTATTATAAGGTCTGTATCACAAAGTGTTCTTAGTATTTAGCAGACAGATTATCTTTAAAATCTTATTTAAATAGTACCAATAAAATCATTTGTGAAGGGAATTAGGTTTAATAGTTAATTGATGTCATTTAATAGTTTTTAAAAACTCATTTTCATTTTAAGAGGTAAATCTGAAGTTTATCTAAATGGAGAATCAGTTATTTTCAAACTTAAGTTAAATTTTGTTTCAGATTTTCATATAGTATTTTTATTTACATGATACAGTAATATACAAATTTTGTCAAGACTTAGGGCAAGTACCAAGGGAACAGTATTTTTTCCCCTGTAGAGATGGTCAAAGAAAAATACAGAGGTTTTAAAAAAAACATGTCATTAATTTATAACATATCCTGTGATTCCCATTTCCCCTTTATTTTGTGATAGAACGAGGATGATACAAAATAACACCAGAAAAATAGAAATTTAAATTAATGCTTCAAAGTAATTTGCAGGTGATCACATACCCCATAAAAAAGTTCTTTTCTTTAAATTCAGTAGAATCTGTGTAGTTCAGTTTAAGAACAACTTCATATTTAAAAATATATTTGTACTGAAAAATGCATTTTATAAAAGGAGGTGTGAAAAATTTAAAACTTTGAATATAGTTTTTTTGTATAAGCATAGAAATAACTAGAGTATAAAAACTCATCCCTGAGATAGTGGCTACACAATAAACTTCTAGAAAAATTTTAGAAGTTTAAAAAGAATCTAATACGCATTTGGGGCTTTACATGGGAAAGTGGTACCTAATTCCACTCACCATTAAATTTAATCTGAGTTTTAAAACATTTTACCAAAATGCCATCTTCATAAATGCTTTAAATCTATCCACAAATGCTAAAAGGATACGGAAGTGTATGTGATACAGAATAGAAGTTAATATCCTCTTCTACATGTTGGCTTACTTTAAAGGGTCAAGAAGAAATGTATTATTTACATTGAGATTATCTACTGGTGTGTGTAGAAAGTTTAAATTAGCTGCAAGAAATTTTATCTAGACACGCACCTGCCTGGTGCTATGATCTGGTATTTACTGGGCAGATTAATTACAAACATTTCTTCTGTTCCTTTAAATACGATCAGGCAGATGCAGAAGAAGTTGGTTTTCACAGTAAGTGCATTTCTTTTAAATGCCTGCAGGATATAAAAGATGATTATTAAATCAAGAATTAGTTTCCAAATTAACATGCATCTATACACTACTTAAATGATTTAAACAACCCATTTACCATGTAATTTGGTACCTAGTTTAGATACTGATAATCTCTCATTTGCTTATTTTTGGGTCTTCTAACAAGATTTACCTTCACAAATAATTGTCAATAGGGCTACTCAGACATCACACTCTTCACTTTATGTGAAGATCGATCTTGAACTACTTCTGAGAGATTTCTAAAACTCCTACATGACCTACTTGCTGAAAACACCAAAATCTACACGCCTTTTGTTATAAGCCTTAAGGGCCTTTCAGCAGGTGTTTCCTCCAACAGCTGCCCCCCAAAAAAAGAGACTGTATTTACTGGCATTCCTATTCAGAGCATGTCCCTCTGGGGCCTCCTAGTGGTGGCAGAAGTTCTTGTCGTTTGGTTTAGAAGCCATTGGCAAGTGATGGCATATTTCCCATAGGGCTCGTGGACCTTTCACTCCTGAAATATCCCCTTCCATACTTACATTGGCAGCTATTAAGAAGTAATGCATGGCAGGCTCCTATATTTCCGTATTCATGGGAGTCCACATATATTCTTTTCCTAGAAGAAGGTAGGTTGCCAACCTGACAACCACCAACTCTTGCCAATTTGAGTCTGGTCTGGATTCCTATAGAAGATTTTAAGCACTCTAGTGTTCACTTAATATCCCTACAGGTTACTGATACACAGTTATCAGAACTAATGACAATACTATATAGGAAAGTAAGACTATATTAGTTACTATGGGGGAGATGCTAGTTAAGTTTATTTTGTACAATCCCACAAGGTAAATATCAGTCCCATTTTATAATTAAGGGGTTTAGGGCAACCAAGTTCCTTGTTAAGGCCACAGAGATAAGTAGATAACAGAGCTGGTGCTGGACATGTAATCCAAATCCTGTCCTCTGTTATAATGCCAGACCATGCAAAGGAGTTTCATCAATTGATCAGGACTGCTAGAAGTGTGCTGAGAAAGATTCTGACACCAAATTCAGGATCCAGCAAAAATAAAGACTGTGATCAATGTGATATATGTCACAACACAAGAATACAGTAGCATGTATATTATCTCTACACTGCCATACTGGTTCTGGAGAGGAATGTCTCAGAACACAAAAAGCAATTCAGAGACAGTGATGCAGTTCATGAGCAGTATTTTGACAGGAATTATCATTCATATAGCAATTATATTCTTTCTAAAACATATTTTGGATTGTTGCTTCCCTAATAATCTTCACTGGTCTACTTCTGCCTAATGAATAAAGTCTGAACCGATTAAGCCTGGTGATCATAACTGTCAATGATGTGGTTGAACCTACTTGTTTAGTCATTCTGCTTTTCTGCCTTTTGTGTTCATGTTGTTCTCTCTGCCTGGTATGTTTATACAGCCCATCAAAATGACCCATTTCTCAAGTTCAAACTTCCTAGTAAAGTACAAAGTTTCCATTACTAGGGTCTGGATGGTCCTCTGTCAGAGATAATGCAGAGTGGAATAACTAGAATTATTTTAATATCATGAACTCTTAAATAATGACCTAATCACTCTATCCTGAGGTCATCTATGTCTGTTGTGTCTTCCTATACTGTTGCTTATTCTTCATTTGGTTCTTAGGAATGTTTATACTCCTTAGTCTGAAGAGGAAGGAACTGTCAACTCTTCTGCTCTCTCTACCCCATGGAGGAGTGACAAACGTGACTGGCCAAAGTCCAGAACATCAATCCATATTTTACTGGTAATATTATATGTCACTCTTCTTACACAACACCCTTTCCCTGTCTACTCTCAAGTCCAATGGGTCCTTGTGCTTCCTAATTTCATGTTGTAAGGAGACCAGCCCATTCTGTTGATCTCGTCTGTAATCAAGCATAGGCAGGTCTGTGGTCTTTTCTATTGTAGAGGTACATGGACATGGGGTTTATTTCAAAGATCCAGCTTTCTCCTCAGGTTCAAGATTGAGATTCAAAGGGTTCAAGATTTAGACTCAGTGTGGGAGAGACGAGATTCCACTTCTGCCTTAGGCACACTCCATATTAGTTACCCTAAGCTTCTGCCAGAGGGCCTGCCATGTTAGAGGTTATCAGTTCCTCCACTAATCAAGTTGAGACTTTGATCCTAAATGGACTCATCCTTTTTTGTGCTTGCTATTGCCAGAATCCTGGAAAGAAGAGGGTTCTGAACTTGTATTGCTCTTCATATCTTGCCTTATATTATTATCGTTTCATGTATAGAATATAAATCTTGTCTCTTTAGCTTGATGACTGGGTTTTAAAAGGTTGGCATTGTGCAAATGCTATGTTTATACTAAGCCTCATAGTTTTGTTAACCAAGTGATTTATCCAGGTAAGCTGTGGTCACATTAGGGAGAGTTCTGAATGTTAGTATAAATTTGGATTTTACTATGAATATGGTAGAGTGATTCCTTCTTAAGCATGATCTATCCAGTAGCAGGACAGGCTGTAGGAAAGAAGGACCAAAGGGCAGAAAGGCAGGTTACAGTAGGGATGATGAGGTCATAAGGAATAAACTAGTGCCGGGGGCATGGGAGGGAGAGGTAAACATTTTTAGAAGTTATCTGACCGCCTGGCAGCAGTTGCACATATGGGCACACAAAAGGGACAGAATTTTGAGGTTTTGAGCCTTATTACTGGGTGAATGTAATCCCTAGAAAGGTAGAATGAGGAAGAAATTTGGGGGAAAATGATGAAATTAGGGTACCTGGGGGACAATATATGGCAGCTGATATTGTGGGTTTACGGAGAGTCAAAAATGGATTTGGAAACCATAAATTGCACTAAGGTGAGAACTAGGGTCAAGGAATGGGTGAGATCATGAGGAAAGCACCCAAAGTAAGAAGAAAACACAGTCAAAAGAACCCAGGGAAATGCCTCAAAGGTTTAGTCCAGTTTCATTTCATTGTTATTTCTCTCCACTGCTTCCCACTAAAAGGGAAGTTGAGTAGTAGGTCAACCTTCATTCTTGCAAGTTTTTTCTAAGTACTACTCATATTAAAGACTCAGAAGAACACCCTTAATATTCTAATCTTTATTAGAATCCAGGAACACAAAGCTATACTCAGTACTCTAAGTTCCCCAAAGTTCATGAATGACCATCATATACTAAATGTGTATGTTATTAGCCAGATGTATAACTGTAACTATGTATTTATGATCGCCCTCTAATAGTTGTCTGTTGGACTGCTATGGACCCGAAATTGTACAAAATGTTTAACCCTATAATGAGTACATGTGTATATGTATATATATTAGATCCTTACTATTGCATAGGATCTAAAACCTTTGACCAGCAGTGAAACCTGACACTCATAGTTTACTATTGTGAGTGGGCAAAGCAAAGACTCTGGTACCAGCCTACTCAGGTTAGTATCCTGGCTCTGTCTCTGAGGTAATTCTAGAACAAGGTTATTAACCTCTTTGTGCCTCAGTTTCCTCACCTATAAAATAAAGACAATAACTGTATATCATGTAAGTTGTTAAAAAGGTTGAATGGAATCTGTACGAAGTGCTTACTATAGTACCTGGCATGTTGACAGTGCCTAATAAGTATCAGCTATTATTATAAACTATTATTTGTTGCATACAACAGAATAAACATTTTAATGAATGAAAAGTGACACAATTTTGTATATAAGATGCTTTGCAAATATTTTTAAAAACCGTTGGTTAGGAAGCTAATACTAATCGTTTGAAATACCATTTCCAAAGAAAAGTATTTTCAGTATAGAATTTATTTTGCCTTAATTTTTTTCTAAGAGATAATCTCTTAGAAATAAAGCAAGTTATTTACACCTCATAGCAGGCAACATCTGGTTAGCTTCTAAGAATCTTAATTAATACTGATGCCACTAAGTGTGGGGTAGGCTAGTTCTTAACGCGAACCTTCAGTTACAGGCACATTAGACGCTAATATCACATTATGACTCATATTGCTTCTAGCTAGTATGTTCTAATAAGCTAGTTATAAATCTATCATTTTTACTTATATTGCTGAATCTACAGGGAACTGTTCTGAAGGAAAGATACACTAATTAATATATAACTATTTACTTAATTCAGCACATTTCCAAATTGATAGAATCGTTCTATCTTGTTCAGTTACATGTGTCCTACAGAAACTATAACCCACCTATCAGTACCTAGTTAGTTATTTATAAAGGTGCTAAATCAAGAGCCCTCTATACACTCACCTAAAAATATGGGCTTTTTGACTTTTAAAGCTAGGCTAATGAGCTCAACAGTTCTTTTCAATCAGCCTCTCATACAACTTGTCAGACTATCCTATTATTTATAAAAAGATTAAATATAATTTCAAAAACACCTCCAAAGCTCACTCCCTATTTTATTCATAGACAGACAGTACCAAATTTGAGAATATAAATAAAATGTTTCCACCTGAACAAAACAGTGAAATTTAACAAGGCTAACCTTAATTAGAATGGTGAAACCCTACCTCAGTTTAAAATGCCTTTAAGGAATTCATAGCTGTCAAGATGATATAATTCTATAAGAAAGAAAAAAAGATTTTTTTCAGAAAACAAGTCAAAGTAAGTTGTCACAGTATTCACAGTATATGATGTAGAATAAATGCTTAATCAAATGAAATTAAAGAACCTAAACCTAGGGCGCCTGGGTGGCTCAGTCGTTAGGCGTCTGCCTTCGGCTCAGGTCATGATCCCAGGGTCCTGGGATCGAGTCCCACGTCTGGCTCCCTGCTCGGCGGGAAGCCTGCTTCTCCCTCTCCCACTCCCCCTGCTTGTGTTCCTGCTCTCGCTATCTATCTCTCTGTCAAATAAATAAATAAAATCTTTAAAAAAAAAAAAAAAAAAGAACCTAAACCTAAAATTTTATTTTACATTATAAATAGCTTTGGAATTATAAATTCTCATTTCGACATCTTACTGATTTGCCCAATTCTGTTTCGGAATGTACATTTAAGAATTTAGGATAAAAAGTGCCAAAAAACTTATCATTATAATGTATGCTTATGCTTTATTATACTTGTCTTTTGTGACATATTCTACAATCCTGAGGGCAGGACTATGTCTACCTTGTTCATTACTGTACCCCCAGTGCTAGAATAGTGCCTGGCTCATAGTAGGCATTTAGTAAATATTAAACAGATGAGGCATGTAAGGAGATTGTGATTTATAAGTATTTGAAAATATTTAAGTTCCTTTAAAAAATTCTTAGAGTGGCATTTGTTTTTACTCATTCATTGACCATGCATTGTGGACCTTCTATCAGGTTCTATACTAGGCTCTTGTTTGTTTGCCAAGGAGGAGCCCAGAAGGAGCCCTGTAACTGGACAATTACAATATACTACAATACTACAACATAATACATTTATAAACATTCAGACAGTGTTGTAGAAGGCCAGAAGAAGCAATTTAGCTTTACCTAGGTGAGCTGGGGAGAGTTTCACAGAGGATGTGACATCTGAGGCTGCCCTTAAAGAATGAGCAGGAATTTACTAGACAGACATGGGAGAAAGAGCAATCCAGGTAGAGAGAGAGAAGCAGGAGAGAGATCTGGAGTTCACACAGAGAGAGACTCCAGGGGGCTGAAGTCACATGGTGTGAACAGTATACCTTCAAATGCCTCCTTTCCTCCTGAGTGAGGTGTGAGCTGGAGGAAAAATCACCTAATACCTTTTACGGAAGTCCTGCTTTTAACTATATAATTAGCTATATAACACTGTAAGTATCTGCTTTATTATTCTAGATATGTGTTTGATACATAAACCACTTAGAAAATTCATCTGACTCTTTTTTGAGGAGCTTTTCTGACTACTCTAAGAGTTAAAACGGGGAAAAAAATATTCACCTGTCAGGTGACATAAAACCAATTTCTACTAAATGTGCCAGAATAATTTTTCTTCACCTCAAGAACGGTTAGTCTTCAGTCTGTTCATTACTGTCTTTTTATAGTATTTTTATTTAATAAAACCTATTAAGACTACCATACAAATCTCTTTACTTATGCTTTTATCTTTTAACTGATCAATTTTTATATTGCTGACATCCCTTCTTCACCATTTGCTCATTTAAAAATTCATAGCATGTGAGATATGTCTCTGGAGAAAATGTCTATAAAATTTGTTACAGCTGGCAAATGTGGATGAGTCAGTGATAGCACATGACTAAATGCTTCACAGAAAATAAAATTTGTTTCTGTAGTAAGCAGAACTGTTTAAATGTTATTTATTTTTATGTTTCAAAGAAAATATATTGTGAAGTGCTGCATTGATTTAATACGCAACAATGTCTGTGTACATGCTGTAGAAGGAAAATTTATGAAACCTTTGCACAACTCCTTTAATTGAATTTTCCAAATCTCTCACCACACACAAATAATCAATATCTTCTGCAGAGAAAACCAGTCAGAATTATTACAGTCTTTCGTTTCAATTTTGTTGTCATCAGCACATACAGAGCACCTGGATATTCCTAATGTCTGATAGCAAGTTATTTACACCTCTTAAACACATAATTGCTACTAAGTGAGTTCAAATCTATGGTTGAATTTTTTTAACTGATTATTTAAAAGATAAAAATGATCATACTTCTAGAGAAGTATACAAAAATTTAAATCATGGAAGAAATTATTTAAAAGGCTTTGAAAAGTAATAGATCAGTTTGTTTTTCCTTAAATCCTAGACAAATCTCAAGTAAGCAGTCAAAATGTATCCCCAAAACAGTGATGAATAGTCTAAGACAAGGGCATTAACATTATTAATAGGAAAGGTACAAACCACGTACAACATGCATGATAGGTGAATTCTGATAAAGAGCTAAAGGACTACAGTTGTACATTAATGTAGATTTGTCACCAAAACTAATATCTCCATTTTTTTTATCTCCAGATAAACCAAGAACATTAAGGCACAGGTAGGAATTTTTGTTGTTTCTTCTAAAACTCATCATGTCTAGACTTCAAACTTCAGTGCTTTTAAAACCGAAGTATTTGTTTGAAAAAAGATACTGTTTAATGTTAAGATATAAAAAACTAAAAGGGTAGTAGTCTTCTAGGGAGTAAAATTATTTGGCCGATATGATAAATACTTTTTCAAGACTGAGTGGGGGAAAGAACAACATATTTTTAAGTTAAAAAATACTTCCGTGGGTGGTTAGAATGAAAAGGCAGTATCAAACTATTTTATAGTCTTAGAACAGAAAGAGCTTAAAATTTGTCCTGTAGTCCAAGAATTTGAAAACTTTAAAATCCTATAACCCAGATGAATTTTACAATGTAAGACAGTAAGTTAGCTAAAGATAACAGAAATGTTATAGTTTGTGCTTTTCTTTTGAAGGCCACAGCTAAAACTCTGAAATATTTTGTATTACAAACAGTTGAGACAACTTTTTTGAACAATGTAAAGTTCAGATGGTTACATTTCATCTCAAATATGCATACTGCAACCTACACAATTATTCTCAAAACAGATAAAATATGTTTTGGACTAAAGCTAAGTGTCTAGATTTCATATCTTGGCAACTGTTCTACAATTTGCTTACATTCTTTTCAAAAACATTTTGTTTACTGGAAGTACTGGTCATAGACAAACAATGATGGTATTTTTTAATATTTCCAGAAAAAATGAAAATACTAAGTACTATATAATGCCATCTATTGACTTAGGAATATTTGTATCAAGTTGTCTTAAGTAGAGGTTGATTATGTAAAGTAAATAAATTTCATGCCTTACCATGTGATGATAATGTGACATTCCATCTGTATCAACCCATTGAATGGTCATGTTTTAAATCTTCAGCATAACAAATTAAGAATAATTATGAAATTCACATCCAAATCTAACAGAAAAAGGACCTTTCATCTCATTATTTTTCTAAGAGTCATAAAGCCAATATTATTAAGGAAAGTAAAGTTAGGCTTCCTTCCTAAGTAACTGAAAAAAGAAAGCCTTCCTTTGTTTAAGAAATTTGTATTTAGCAGGGGAGAGACTCTTTTATTCATATACTCTATCAAAGCATTCTCTGATTTGCCACGTCCAGTTCTTTTGAAAACTATGAAAATCTCAGTGTACCTTTTCATGTTATTGTGTACATTTTAATTTCCCCTGAATGTTACATAAAGCCTTAAGAATGTGTGTCAGATGTCTATTTATTTAGAACACTAGCATGTTATTTTTACAATTATACTGTTCTGCCTGTAATAAAGACTGCAACTGATGCTAAACAAGCTAGCAGTGGCATGGAAAAATAAATAGAACTAGGGGACCGACTTGAAGAAGCAACAACAGCATAAATGTTGGAATTTTCCTGATACTGTCTATTTTAACTATTCTAGGAAAATTTTATGAGAATCTGAAGGACATTCTTTTGATCGTGAAACAAGTAATTTGTTCTTATTTTCATTAAGTACTTAGTAAAACAAATTCCATACATATTATGGGAGTTATTTTTATATTATATAATTTCTAATATTACGAAGATTCCCCAAACATTTTAAAATTTAAACAATTCTGAATAATAGCATAGTAAAAGAAAGGAGTAAAGTAGAAATTTCTATAAAAAGCTGAAGGCTAGATCCCCAAATAAGGAAGGTATAAAGCAAATTAGTTTGAGATGTCAAAAACACTAGCAAAGTCCTTGTAAAATGAATGTATAAATAAGAAGGGTTGAAAGTTATTAACTCAGCAAAAAAATTATATATATATATAAATGTGTTGATGTGCATCATCTTTAATCAAAAACAAAACAAAACCACCAAAATAAAAAAATACATATATTATGAACCAGAAAGAGAAGAGTGAAAAACACTCAGTAAAAACACTCAAACTCAAATTATAAAGGAAATAAGTTTCAAAAGATTTTTCAGGCAACAATACTTTAAAAAAAATTAGTGGAAAAGCTAATGAAGATCTGAATACCTCAGGAAATATAAAAGCTAATGCAGCTCTTGCCAAGAAACAGAAATGGAAGATGACATATATTCTAATATATATTTTTACAGCTATCACATATTTTATTTATCTAAATTCAGTTTTCATTTAAACCACAACAAATAATCAATGCTTATTAGAAATTTTAAAACATGATTTAGTCATAGGATCTCCTTTATGCATGAATAAACACTAAGTCCTTAAGGAAAACCTGGTAATGGGCAAGTTAGTTTTAATGCCTAAAATACTAGAAAATAGTTTTAAGGCTGGTCATGCATAAACACACAAAGAATTGGTACATACTAGATAACTGAAAGGAGATAAATTTTAACACATGGAATATAACTTTAACGTCTTAATAAATGTTTAGGGAAGGAAACAATACTTTCGGAAAATTTTTTCTCATTATTAAAGTGATCCACTTATTCTACAATTTTCTCTCCCCCATTTTTCAAAACTTGGTGAAAGCCAACTCTGTAATTCTAGTCAATTCTAGGAAATTACAGATTGAAAAAAAATTCACACCACTCGCACAGAATATATAGAAGAAAGATTTCCTCTGGTTTGGAAATAATAAACATTCCAATTTCCCATTATGATCCTCTAAAACTTGTCAAGTTAAAAGAGACTGAAACCACTGAAACTCAGCTACACATTATAATCAATTTTCACAGTATAGGAGAGAAGGGATCTTAAGCCTTTTCTAAGAGCTAACTTCATATTCTTAAATTCTTGGGATCACAGTGGAAGTTAGCTGCTCTACTGAATGGCTCAGGAAACCTGCTCAGCTCTCTTCCCACATGAGCTTTGGAGGATCCTGTCAGGGCTGTTTCACTGCATTACCCAGGTGGCCTTTGGAAGTAACAGGGAATCCCAGCACTTTCCACTGCAAACTCATCACACTGGCTGTTAAAGATCCTAAATACAGTCTAATATACTAGATTGGTTGAGATGGTTTCAGTTATGCCTCATGTCTGAATCTAAAAACTGGGACGACTAGATGATTTAATTTGTTATAAGAAGAGGCAACATGGAACAATGAAAAAACCAAACTATTGGAGGTTAGACTGGTCTTTAGTTGGAATCTCTGCTCTGACACTTAAGTAGCAGTGTCTTTGGGGAAGTTACTTAACATTTTTTGTCTTTATTCCTTATCTATAATGACAATGATAACAAGCTATCTTGCAGAGTTGCTATAAAGATCTGCTGATCCTAGTGTTGGGAACATAGTAATTACTGGTCCTCAATAAATGGTAGTCATTGGTACTCAAAAATGGTAGACTAAAACATGGCTACCCGTTTAAAGGCCTACCTTCACTTGCAGAGATTGCAAAATGGCATTCATGTCAGTAATATTAAAATGATCCCTCTTAAGTTGGTCTAAAGGTTTTAATATTTTACAGTCCATGATCATTTTGCTTACTGAGGTATGGATGTGCATGTGTTATGGGAAAACCTGCTAATTTAGTCTCCCACACTGTGAAATGCTCAGAGGCATATGAGTTCACAGTAGATCAAACATCATTAATGATCTGAAAGTTTTCAGAACACTGGTTACAAAGTAACTTTTTATGCTTTGTGTAATCCTAATTCACCATTAAAAGTTGCTATATATTAATGCATTGTTCCCCCATCTGTCTATATTCTCAAGAAGAACTTTTAATAAAAAGACAAAATTTAAATCTTAAACTGAAAATTGTATTTCAAAAGATATATATATATATTTTTTAAAGATTTTATTTATTTATTTGACAGAGAGACACAGCGAGAGAGGGAACACAAGCAGGGGGAGCGGAAGAGGGAAAAGCAGGCCTCCTGCTGAGCAGGGAACCCTATGCGGGGCTCGATCCCAGGACCCTGAGATCATGACCCAAGCCGAAGGCAGTTGCTTAACTGACTGAGCCACCCAGGCACCCCTCAAAAGGTATTTTAAAGTTTAATCTTCAGGGAAGTTATCTTATCAGACATGGTCTGCCAAATCAGTATAAGGTTTGCAAATGAGATTTATGATCTTTTAAAAAGATCACACTAAAAAACTCATGATGATTAGTTTTCAATGGTGAAATGAGATGAAAGGATCTTTTTATATAAATGAAAACACAATTCTTTACCTTTGTTGGGAAGTCCTGAACTCTTCTTTTCAAACAGTTTTTGTTCTGTTACTTTTTTCACTAAAAAACAAACAAACAAAAACGCCCAAACCAAAACAAAACAACTCATGTTAAGAATTAGCATGGAATATGAATAATTTCTCATCCTGGGATAACTTCATAAGAAAAAAATAATTTGAAGTAATACATACAGGTATCAAGTACAAACTGCAGTATCTTATTATATCTTATTTAAAGAATGAGCACCATATTTTTAAGAAGCTTGATTATCAGTTTGCAAGGCATATTCTTTTCCTTCGTATTCAACAAGAATCCCTGAAGTAACATATCCTGGTAAAAGATATATGGCTTCTTATTCCCTAAATAATACTTCCATTACATGTCCAGTAGTGCCATATATAAAAAAAACTCTATCAGATTTAAATTTGGGAAAAATTATTAGGTTTATCTCTAAAACTGAAAACATTAGAATATATATTTACATTTACAAATAAGGAATGGAGCGATGCCATTGAAAACTCATGAATTTTTCTTACTTAGTTCTTTTGTTTTCTGCATTTCTCTTGGTAAGAAACATGATGCACGGGAGATACCAAGGAGATTTTCAAGCTCTCTACTGCCCTCCAAAGCCTAAAAGAAAGACATCTTAAATGAGTTAAGTTCTCTACAAATATAATATTACTGACAAGTCTAGTGAAAATACAGTTTACTGTTTTTTTCATCTGAAAAAAACTCTGTGGTAGGAAATTTAACTTTTTCTGGCAGGTCAACTACTCCAAGTTTTAAAATGTGAAAAATTCAGATATTACTAAAATATTATGGTTAATTCATGTTCATGTAAGAAAAGGAATTCCCATGAAAAGTAAATTAGACATATTCCCTGCAAATTCTTTTCTGGATTGGATTCTCCATGCTGGGGCTTCTTTCCTATTTTCCTTTTGCAAATGGAGTGGTAGACATATGAAAAATTATATGCCGAAAGAAAAAAAAAAGCTAACCTGTATACTGCTTAAGTTTTGCATTATTTCTATGATTTCTTCTGATGATTTCTCCACTTTAGATAGCAACACCATGAATCTATAAATGAAAAAAAAATTAGCACGATCAAGCATTTAAACACATTAAATCATTTTCACATCTTTAATTTTTTTCTTTTTTTAAGATTTTATTTATTTTTTGACAGAGAGAGAGACAGTGAGAGAGAGAACACAAGCAGGGGGAGTGGGAGAGGGAGAAGCAGGCTTCCCGCCAAGCAGGGAGCCAATATGGGACTCGATCCCAGGACCCTGGGATCATGACCTGAGCCGAAGGCAGTCGCTTAACAACTCAGCCACCCAGGTGCCCCAACACCTTTAATTTTTTTTAAAAGATCTTAGATTCAGTTTTCTAATCCTTTTCTTTACAAAGTGGTAAAAGATGTAAATGCTCCTCCATTATTTCATCCCTTTACAAACACAATATATATTCTCAATCATCCTGCATTTGGGATTTTTGCTTTCTTTCACGCCCACTGAACAGGGGGTGAAGATGTGAAGATATAGTTAGTTGGCTTGCTCCTTTCTCCACAGTACCACTTTGAGAACAATAATACACCATTCTCCTTATTTACCTTGATCTAAGTCTATGAGTCAGTGTTACCAGTAAGTTTTTTTAATAAAAAGTAAGTTTTATGGCTTAATAAATTTCAGTGTGAAAAAGATTACAAAGGCATTAAGTTTGAAAACAAAGAAAACTTCATTTGTAATCCTATCTCCTGAACATATCTCTAGTTAATATGTTAGCATACAGGAAAAATTTTCTTAGTTTTTTTTTGAAACAATTTCTATAACTTTATATCATACTTTCCTTAATATAATATTACATATATATTTTTTTGCCACATCACCCATAGGTTTATAATTTTCAAGGCTGCACAATATTATACCTAGTAAGCATACCAAAGATGACTTAACCATTCCCTTATTGTTGTAGTTTTAGTGTTTTTTCCAATTTTATGATCTCATAGCTGTATATAATCTACATCAGTGCAGTCTAATAGAAATAAAATGTAAGCCACACATGTAATTTAAAATTTTCTAGTAGCCACATTAAAAGTAAAAAGAAACAAGTGAACTTAATTTTAATAATATATTTTCTTTAACCAATATATCCAAAGTATTATCATTTCAACATGTAATCAATAAAAATTATTGAGATAGTTTATGCTTTTTTTTCAAAATCCAGTGTGCACTTTACACTCATAGCACATCTCATTTCAGACTAGTCACATTTCAAATGCTCATTAGCCATGTGTGGCTGCCTAGTGACTACTGTTTCAGAGACCACAAATCTGTATTATTGATTTTATGAAAGAAACTAGAAATTTTATTTAAATGCTTTTCAAAAATCACATCAGTGTTATCCATTAACATTTCTGTGCTATTAAAAATAAGATTAATATGACATGTTAAATTTTCATACACAATGAATATGTAGAGTATGTTTCATCCACGTAAAATATATGAGTATGCAAGCAAGGAGTGGAGAAACAGCATTTATGCAAAAACTAAAACTTATGTGAGGAAAATGGAACTGCAGGTGATCTTTTTCTCTTTAAAAATTTTCCCTTATTATCATGCATTTCCAATGAAAAGTCACCTGTCAGAGGCCTTACTTGCTTACCACCTGAACCTCAGTTTGAAAGATAGTGACATAAAGGAATTCCAGCTCCTTCCATTGAGCTCCAAAAGTCTCAAGGAGCAAGTGGGCTTAAGTGACTCCCACCCAGGGCTGGGAACCTCCAGCTTCCCCTACATTATACCAACACTACTCACTCCCTCAGGGGGGCAAAGCTGAGGCAAATGAGCTATTTCACCATGAGAAGCAATCCTAAGGGCTCTTTACCTCTCATTCTTTTCCTGGGAGGACTGAAGTGGCAGAGCCTCTCTACACTACCTTACCTACCATACCTTAAGGAACTGATGATATTCCGTGTTGACCCTTACGGAATTATGTGGGAAGGATGGGACCTGCAGGGTTGCCATCTTGAATGACTCCAAGGGGCTCTGTTCAGATAGATTAAGATGAGAATGGTGCCCCCAGGAGTTGTGCATGTAGCATCCCCAACAGACCTGCTAATAATTCTGTTTCTCAAGTTAAAATAGTTATTGAGGGGCTGAGCTAGGCAAACTGTTTTCGACAAACTTGGAGAGCTGTAATGGCCTGAACATCAAATAACTGGGGAAATTGTTTTCAAAATATCCTTCCCATGCTTGAGCTGCTTTTGCAGGGAAACTTGTCTTCACTGCATGACCAGTAGACTAGTGGACAGTCCATCATTCTTCTCATTTTTTTATATTCAGATTTCTGCCTTACTACTCTACTGGTACTATACTCTCAAAGGCCACAAATGAACTCTTAATTAATTCCATTACTAAAAACTTATATCAAAGTTACTACCTGTAAGAGACTGTATTTATATATAATCTCAAGAAACCTGGAAGTTACATGTACATCACAGGTTTTTCTTTATCCTCTTAATATTATGTCTTACAGAGAAAAAGGTATATAGGTCACAGAACCTCTACTTAATCTAATTGTTTATCTAAACTGATTATTTTGGTAGCTGGATTGTAACGATGAAATATGTTGCTAAGTTTTTTTTTGAACTCTTTCTAAAGTCAAAGCACGGTAGTTGTTACTTTACAAGCTATATCTTAATCTTTAAAATAATTCCCTGTGATAAACATTATCTCCATTTTATAGATACGGAAACTGAAACACAAATTATTTAATTATTCAGGGTTACACAATAAGGAACACAGTCATTGTGCATTCTTTGGGATTTTCTACATATAGCATTGTGTTGTCTGAAAATAGAGATAGTTTTAGGGGCGCCTGGGTGGCTCAGTTGTTAAGCGTCTGCCTTCGGCTCAGGTCATGATCCCAGGGTCCTGGGATTGAGCCCCACATCGGGCTCCTGGCTAGGCCGGGAGCCTGCTTCTCCCTCTCCCGCTCCCCCCACTTGTGTTCCCTCTTCTCTCTCTGTGTCACATAAATAAATAAAATCTTTAAAAAAAAGAGATAGTTTTATTTCTTCTTTTCCAAATGGATGCCTTTTGTTTTCTTTCTTCTTCCCTTCCTTCCCTCCTCCTGCCTAATTGCTCTGATTAGAATTTCCTGTAAAATGTTGAATACTAGTGGTGAAAACGGGCATGCCTATCTTGTTATTGATCTTTGGGGAAGGCTTTCATTCTTCCATGTCAAAAATTTTGAACAGTTGAAAAATAAGTCTCTTGTAAACACTGGTTTCTCTTTTAGTCTTTACTTACCTACAGAATATAGGCATGACTTTATTTTCATTTTAAGTTTTTGATAAGCATGTTCAACTAACTCACTCCTAAAGACCGGGTGATTTAAGCAGAAAAATGAACCATAAATCTGATTCTTGTTGCATAACTGAATGCTTAAAACATAATAAAGAGTAACTCAGACTTAGAATTCTTTTTTCCCCCCAGATTTAGAATTCCGGACAGTGGCTACCTGTCACAATTAATTGTATTCATAACAAACAAACAAATAAAAACCCACTTCTAGCATAATTCTTTACAATTAGAAAGGTTTTATTTGGATTAGTATAGAAATTTTTTAAAAATCTAAAAAAAAAATTGCTTTTCTATCTGTAAGAGAATAAGCCAGTGGTTAAAAATAAGCTTTATACAACAGCAGGGACTTTTGTGGTGATGGGAATGTCCTATATTTTGATGGTGGTGAACGTACACATGTGATAAAGTTACACGGAACTAAAAACATATATATACAGACACCAGTGAGTACATGTAAAACTTAAGAAATCTGAATAAAAATCAGTGGACGGTGGCAATGTCAATTTTCTGGTTGTGATACTGTCTACAGTTTTGCAAGATGTTATCATGTCAGTAAAGTGAGAAACGGGTACACATGATCTCTCTGTTTTACTTCTCACAACAGCATGTGAATCTACAATCTGAAAATAAAAGGTTTAATGGAAGTAAACCTGCAGAAAGATAGTCACCAATACTGTATTTTCATAGCAGTGACAATAGCCAGCAGCAAATTGCCAAGAGGAAGAAAAGCCAATGGCAGTGAATTATATAATATATTTTCCTTTCAGAGTATAAAGGATATGGAAGTTCACATAAAATATTAATGTGTAGGTGTTTGTTTATAAATGAGCTCTATTGACATGTCACTAACTGCTTGTTTTCTGGGGAAAAAAATTTTAAACCTAGAATGTGGAACTATATTTTCCTTTTGGAAGAATTCTTATATTTAAAACTTACCAAATTGATTTAATAACAGGATGTCATTTTAGGACATATACATAATTGAAAAACAAAAAGTGTAAAAGTATACATTGTATGCCACCTTTGTATAAAAAGAGAAATTAGAAAAAAGAAATGAAACAACTTGATTTTATAAAAATAAACATAAGAAAGGGAAACCAGAAATTAATGAATTTGGTTACCTACAGGGAGTAGATAGAAAGAATGGGGAGGGAGTGACACTTCTCTGAATATACTTTTTTTAAAGTTTTGGCTTTTGGAATCATATTAATGTTTTACATCGTTAAAAAATTAAATCAAAAAGGATGAGAGAAAAAAGATTAAAATTGAAAAAAAAACAGAAACAAGAGAACCTAACTACTTCAAATGAATAACTAATTCTTCAAACAAAGAACTAGTCCAAGTAATGTGGAGAAAAAGGAATCCTCTTACACTGTTGGTGGGAATACAAACTGGGGCAGCCACTGCAGAAAACAGTATGGAGGTTCCTCAGAAAGTTAAAAATAGAACTACCCTACTATCCAGTAATCGCACCACTGGATATTTAACCCCAAAATACAAAAACACTAATTCAAAGGGATACATGCACCTCTGTTTATGGCAGCACTATTTACAATAGCCAAATTATGGAAGCAGCCCAAGTGTCCATCAATTGATGAATTGAGTAAAGAAGAGGTGGTATATATATACAATGGAATATTATTCAGCCATAAAAAAGAATGAAATCTTGCCATTTGCAACAACATGGATGGAACTAGGTAGGGAGTATAATGCTAATAAGCAATAGAAGTCAGAGAAAGTTAAATACTATATGATTTCACTCATATATGGAATTTAATAAATAAAACAAACAAAGAAGAAAAAAGAGAGACAAACCAAGAAGCAGATTTAAAAAAATTTTTTTTTAAATATTTTTAAAAATTTTATTTGTCAGAGAGAGAGAGTGAGCAAGCACAAGCAGGGGGAGCGGCAGGCAGAGGGAGAAGCAGGCTCCCCGCTGAGCAGGGAGCCCAATGTGGGGCTCAATCCCAGAACCCTGGCATCATGACCTGAGCTGAAGGCAGACAGATGCTTAACTGACTGAGCCACCCAAGTGTCCCCAAGAAACAGATTTTTAACTATAGAAAACAAACTGATGGTTCCCAGAGGGGAGCTTTGTGGAGGGGGGGATGGGTGAAATAGGTGATGGAGATTAAAGTGTACAATTATCATGATGAATACTGAGTAATGTTTAGAATTGTTGAATCACTATATTGTACACCTGAAATGAATATAGCACTGTTAACTATACTGGAATTAAAATAGAAAACATTAACAAAAGAGAACTAATCCAAGTAGTTTTGAACATAGTAATTTGACTATATACTGTCAAATTAAAGACAAAAAAGATTTGCAAACAAAACTTGAATGCTTTGCAAGCTTGTTTTTAATAGTGCTATGAGTGCAGGAATTCTCAAACTATTTTGTGTTCATGGTAAGATTAAGCAAATGTAAAAATATACTGCTGCTATGAGGAGCCAAAGATGTAGTATCTCTGAGAAGGGGTGCAAATACGGAAAGGGTGAAAGCAAGGAAAAACCCTTTAACACTATGAACTCATGAATTTTAAAAAGGCCGACTAATAGAAGAAATGATGGAGTTAGAAAATCACCACTGTATAACCAACTTAGTAGTAATTGACTTAGTAGGGTAGACTATCTTCCCACTGTAGGTGGGCATCATTTAATTCATTGAGGGGCTGAATAGAACAAAAGTGGAGGCAAGGAGGATTGGTTCCCTGCCTGCCTGTTTATTTTTTTAAATTTATTTTTATTTTTAAATTTCTTTTATTTCTTTCTTTTATTTATTTGACAGAGAGATAGTACAAGTAGGCAGAGCGGCAGGCAGAGGGAAAGGGAGAAGCAGGCTCTCTGCTAAGCAGGAAGCCCGATGGGGGGCTCAATCCCAGGACCCTGGGATCATGACCTGAGCCGAAGGCAGCCGCTTAACCGACTGAGCCACACAGGCGCCCCTTAAATTTCTTTTATTTTTTAGAGAGAGCAAGAGAGCGAGCATGGAGGGGAGGGGGTGGGGGAGAGGGAGAGAGAGAATCTCAAACAGGCTCCATGGGCAGCATGGGGCTTGATCTCATGACCCTGGGAATATGACCTGAGCTGAAATGAAGAGTCAGACCCTAAACCCACTGAGCCACCCAGGCGACTCATCCTGCTTGCCTGTTTGAATTGGGACATTGCTCTTCTGCTCTTGAACTTGGATTTACACCATCAGCTCCCCTGGTTGTCAGGCCTTTGGACTTGAACTTGAATTACACCACTGGCTTTCTTGAGTCTCAAGCTTGTGGATGGTAGATAGCGGGACTTAGCCTCTCTAATTGCATGAGCCAATTCTTCATAATCAATCTATCTCTATATATGCAAGTATATACATATAACTCATTATCAATACATTTTAATTATTTTTTTAAAAGATTTATTTATTTTAGAGACAGGGAGTGTGTGTGTGCATGAAAGTGGGGGGAGGGGCAGAGGGAGAGGGAGAGAGAGAATCTCCAGTAGACTTCCTGCTGAGCATGGAGCCCAATGGGCTTTATCCCAGAACCCTGAGATCATGACCTGAGTTGAAATCAAGAGTTGGATGCTTAACCAACTGAGCTACCCAGGTGCCCCAATACATTTTAATTATTAATAACAATATCAATGTCATTTTATTATCATTAAATGTTATATTTTATTAATACTATATTATTATTATATTATCACATATATATGTATCTGCAATTGGTTCTGTTTCTCTGGACAACCCTAACCTATACAATTGCCAAAATGAAATATAAAATGCTATGATCGGGGCACCTGGGTGGCTTAGTCGTTAAGCGTCTGCCTTCGGCTAAGATCATGATCCCAGGGTCCTGGGATCAAGCCCCACATCGGGCTCCCTGCTCAGCGGGAAGCCTGCTTCTCCCTCTCCCACTCCCCCTGCTTGTGTTCCTGCTCTCGCTCTCTCTGTCAAATAAATAAAATCTTTAATAAAAAAATGCTATGATCATTTAAAACTGATTTACAAATGTGAAATGTTCAATTTAATTTCAGATTTTCAAAAACCAAGTCTTTAGAATGGCTTTACAAGCTAATAAAAGAAATCTAACAAATGGAACAAATGAAGAACCCATTACTAAAGCTAGTAAAATGGCTTTATTGACTAGGATTGAGTAATTTTATAGTGAGTGGAAAAAAACAATCAGCAAGCCATAATTTTTATCTATTGTAAAATATCTTGGCTTGTCCTTAAGTTCACTAATTCTAGTATCAAGTCATGGAGTGATATAGATAAATAATAGGGATCTTTAGAAATAAACATTGAGAGAAATTAAGTAAATATAGGCAAATTCCTAAGTGAACCATAACAAAGGTTCTTGTTCCCTTGCTACTTTAAAGCTCACTGCTACGAGAGCTGTTGTTAAAAATCTGGAGCTGTAAGAAAATTGATGGGTTCAGAAGAAAAAGGATGGGAAGAAACTATAAAAAGTCAGAATAGCTTAAGTGGAGCTGATTTGGGGGAAAGCAAGGGTAAGTTTGGCTTGCTTACATGGTATCACTGTTGTCCAAAAACATTTCCTCCTTCACTGCCCACTTTTATTCCTAAGTTTGTTATACTTCATATAATTATATCAGAAATTCATTTGGTTTAGCAGGTATCTACTTTCATTTTTTTTAATTTTTAAAATTTAAATTCAATTAATTAACATACGGCATATTATTAGTTTCAGAGATAGAGTTCAGTGATTCATCAGTCTTATATAACACCCAGTCTTATATAACACCTGGGTGTTACCTGCTTTCAACTACAAGATTATACATTTTTCAAAAACTGTTACCTGCCACTTGCTCTCACTGTGTGTCCTTTGGTACAATTTATTTTTGTGTGTATATACTGCCAATTTTAAAATACATTAAATAAGTTAAACAAAAAGAGAATGCTTTCCCTTTTTTGGGAAAGATTTTATTTATTTATTTTAGAGAGAGAGAGAGAGCATGAGTGGGAGGAGAAGCAGAGGAGGTGGGAGAGCAGACTCCATGCGGAACAGAGCCTGACGCAGGGCTCAGTCTCACAACCCCGAGATCATGACCTAAGCTGAAACCAGGAGTTGGACACTTAACCAACTGAGCCACCCAGGAACCCCAAGAATGCTTTCCTCTTAATATCTAGTTGAGACTGGTTTCACTGAGGAAATGGGAACTTTGCTTAGGGGAAGGAAGGAGTAGTAATTTACAATGAAAATATTTGTGGGACAGGGCACATGAAAATATTTGGAGCTGGGGGAGCGTGGCTAGGAAAAGCATCTAGTAAAAGCAGATAAAGGGGGTATGATGATAGATGTAGGAGAGGCCAAACAAAGAAATTTCTCTGTGAAACTCTTCCCTTTGTCCCTGTTGTACTCTAAATGGCATTCAATTTTTGTATATTTTAATCTAGACTAGTACTGATTAAGACTATAGTTCAGCTACATTATGAAAAAAATAGACTTCTGGGGTTATAACCACAAGTTACAACACTATTCGTATGGAAAATGCATTCTGAATTCCACTCAAATGATTTAAAAAAACATTTTCAAACATAATTTATAACCTATTTCTAAGTTTGGAAAGGTATATTAACTTACAACATAAGACCATAAGCTCCCAATGGGTAGAAATTTCATTTTCTTCATCTTTATCCACCCATCATATTGTGTGGCACACGGACAATATAGCTGAAAGGGTAAATGAGCTGAACATATGAACTACTTTGAAAATGTAACCCCCTGTTCTGGTGAATTCAATGTTCCAGCCTTGGTGGACAGATATAACTGTTCTTTCCAGGATATACATGCGAAGTAGATTTTTGTAGATAATATCTTCATTCAAGGCAGCATTGGCTGGCCAACAGAAAAATGGTTGGGTACTGGCATATAAAAGCCTCTTGGGTTCCTCTGGATCTCTTACTCTGCTGGCTTCACTGTGTTCCTAGCTCTTGAACCAGCTATTTGTTAGGCATTATGTTCCCAGATAACGGATTATTTTTCCATCCATATAAAATCTGAAAAGGGCATTTTCCTCAGTTTTATCTTAAGCTGGTCTCTTTTTTATGGGCTGGGAAACTGCACTCAATGAGTATTAAAATTAAGATATCCCGGGGCGCTTGAGTGGCTCAGTCAGTTGAGTGTCCGACTCTTGGTTTTCTCTCATGTCATGATCTCCGGGTCCTGAGATCAAGCCCTGCATGGGACTCTGCACTCAGTGGGGGGTTTGCTTGAGATTCTCTCTTTCCCTCTCCCTCTCCCCTCACCCCACTTGCACTCTCTCTTTCTCTCAAATAAAAAAAAATTTAAAAAAATTAAGATATTACATATCATGATTACATGAACACTGCAAAACCCATCACAAAATATTTTACTTCTTTAAAAAAGAATACTTCAACTCAGGTATAAACTATTTTTTAATTTTTGCAAATAGATTATTTCTCTTAAATTATTACTTTAAGAAATATGATTCTTTTCTTTTAAGACACATGTGTTTATTATTTCAAAAACAACAAACTTACTCATCATTGTCTTTTGTTGTAGATTCCTTCCTTTCGGTTAAACTGAGGTGCCTCAATTTTTTCCTTTTTCCTATATACAAGCAGTAAAAAGAAGAACTTAAAGTTAAGGGGAAAATTGTCAAATTTTAAATAGAATTTAGATCACCAAAGTTTAAATAGAAAATAAAAAGGTAGACTAATGAAAGGGAGGTAGGAAAAGAAAAAGTATCCTAGAATTTGCTATGGAAAAAAAAATCACTATTACGAATAACTTTTCAATAGCTATTTTTTTTAATTTCCCAATATCCCAGTTTTTTACTCATGATGACTTTATATAGAAAAAATAATCTTTACTAGATAAAGGATACTTTCATCAAATATTTTAATAAACAATATTATCTTAAAGTTTCCAGTTTGTATTATTTCACCCCTATGTTTTGCCTCAAAGTTAACAACAGGTTGGTGATACTTATATCTACAAAATAGTGAGTTTCTAGTGATGTCACAGTAAAATAAATTTGATAAATGTGCCTGACTTTAAATACATATTGAAAAAATGCATAATGATTTAGTAAACTCTTGGAAAGATCCTGTGTGTGGGGTTGAAAGGTAAATTTGATTTTATAGCTCTAGTAGAATATGTTTGCATTTATTAGTGGTCAAATAGATAATTGTTTTATGAGCTCTCCATTTAGTTGTTGGTTCTACTGTACCTCATAGTACAGTACACCATATACTTTAAACATATCTGATGTATAATAAGTATTTGAGGACATATTAGCAAAAAAATTCTTAATGTCTTACATACAGTGGCCTTCAATAAATGTTTATTGAATGAATAAGCAAGCAAATGAATAAATAATCCAAACTTTTTACTACAAATGAAAAAAGTCCAGAGAAATCATTTTTTTAAATGTAAAATTGGTAACAACTTCCTTACACTATGTATTCTTATGTTGTTGCATTTGTTCAACAACTGGCACAGGAACTATTATTTAACTCAATGTCCTTATTCTTTACAAAGGAAAAACAAGTGAAATACATTTTATTATTTAATTTAAAACAACATACTCAAAATACTCTAATTTTAACATATGATAATATAAAATTATTAGTGGGATCATTCATATTCTCTTTTTCACACTGTGTTTGATATCTGGTGTATATTTTACACTTATAGCACATCTCAGTTCAGATGAGCCACAGTCCAAATGCTCCGTATCTACATGTATTGGAAAGTATAGCTCTATGTAATACTGCAGGAGGATCTGATACTTCCAGATGAAACCGAGTACACAAATAACACGAAGGTAATTTCTTTAAATTTTCAAATATAATTTATTAACATAACTGTCTGGAACAGACCTTCCAATGCTGGTTTATACTTTTTTCTTCACTTAATTTTTATTCCATTACTCTTATTTGCTCCTATTACTAGGGGAAAAGTTTATTTAAAGTATATTTTCTATTCTCTGATATTTATAATTTCACTGAGTAAATTGGTTCAGAAACTAACAATAATTTCCCTCATTGTTACTTTGGATCTTATGGCTTCTCTCAGAAAAAAAAACAAAACCGTATCATAACTAAATTATCTCAAAATAGTCTTTAATTCTAAAAAGAGAAAAACTTGTGATTTAGAGATCTTGCTAAAGTACTAGTTATCTCTTTATATTAACTTTTCATTATTTGCCTTGACTCTATCCTTAAATTCCAAATAGTAAGAGTTTAACAAAGGATTAAAGGGAAAAACAGTAAATTTTTTTAAAAAGATTTTATTTTTATTTATTTGACAGAGAGCGAGAGAGCACAAGTAGGGGGAGCAGCAGAGGGAGAGGGAGAAGCAGGCCCCCCGCTGAGCAGGGAACCCGATACGGAGCTTGATTCCAGGACCCTGAGATCATGACCTGAGCCGAAGGCAGTCGTTTAGCCGACTGAGCCACCCAGGCGCCCCAACAGTAACAATATTTTATTTATGATTTTAGAGAACTCTGAGGAAAAAGTCTATTAAAATCCATCTCTCTTAAAAAAATCAAGCTGGATATGAAATCCCATGATACACATTAAACCTTATTTTCAGAAAATCTTTGCCTAAAGGTTAATATTAATTTCCTGAATTTCATGCTATGCTGTCTGCATTCAATAAAGCTCCACAATTAAACATTAAAATTACTCTGTTCCTTTAACTTGTAATTAATTTTCACATTTTAGCACCATCAGTCAATAAAGTTAGGTTAGAAATAGTAAAAGAATGCTTTATTTGAATTTTCACCAGGTGTTCAATGCCTGCTGAAACATTTTTATTATTGTAAGGGGATTAGGTATCTTATTCTATAAAATGTAATCAATAGCATTGATCTCAATCTCCTCATAGAAGGACTTACATTTCTAATATACTTTCCAATTGTTAAATAGGAGGAGTTTTAATATCTCTAAAAATAACACTTGGATCAGTTAACAGAGACTGTTCAGACTCTAATATATCATTAAGAGTATTCCAGTTATTGGGGTGCCTTGGTGGCTCAGTCGGTTAAGCATCCGACTCTTGATTTTGGTTCAGGTCATGAATTCAGAGTTGTGAGATCAAGCCCTGCATTGGGCTCTGTGGCCTGGGATTCTCTCACTCCCTCTCCCTCTGCCCCTCCACCCCTCTAAAAAAAAGAAGTAAAAAGAAAGAGTATTCCAGTTACTTAATAATTGCTTCCTGGGCGCCAAGGGTGGTTCTGTCGGTTAAGCGTCTCCCTTTGACTCAGGTCATGATCCTGGGATCCTGGGATCGAGCCCCGCATTGGGCTCCACCTGCTCTGTGGGGAGCCTGACTCTCCCTCTGCCTGCCACTCCCCCTGCTTGTGCTCTCTCTGTCAAATAAATAAATAAAATCTTAAAAAAAAAAATTGCTTCCTTGATTTCATTTCATTCTATTAGCAATTAACATACAGTAAACAGCTGTAGATTCTATATGGACTTTTTCTTCCTAGGTTATATATAACAAACAGTTGTGTATGTGATTCCCTTTAAAGGCAGTTTCACAGAACACTGGTGAAAAATGTACCATCACTGAATCTGGGATACATTCAAAATTGTATTTTGGACTTTCTGGTAAGGCTCAGGGAGCCCCTTCTCTAACTAATGAAGATAACTTTCAACAGATCATGATATTTAGAAGTACAATCAATGATGTTAATGATAACGGCTAACACTTAAATAGTATTTTTAGGGCCATGCACTGTTTTAAATGTTACATATATAAACTAATCTGCAAAACTGCATTGGTCACTCTTATTCCCATTTTACAGATGAGGAAACAGAGGCACAGAATGGCCACATAACTTATCCAAGGCCCTAAAGCTAGTAAGTGCCAGAGTCAGGATCCGAGTCCGACACCCAACCTTCTGTGCCACTCACGCACCCCGAAATCATGTTATTCTTTTAATTAACCAAATTATTATTATTAAACAAGAGTGGAGAGTGAAGAACCTCTTTAGAGGATCAATTCATGAAAAATAACAATGTTAATGGTTCCTTTTTTAAAATTCAAAATACCTTTATTAAGTCCCATGGAAGAAATTTAATATTCTTAAAATTTTACCTATATTATTGAATAGAAAGGTATCAATGAGAAATTGGAATTGCTTTTTAGCTACTAAAACATTAATATTTGAGAAGCAGAATGGTACATTTTAAAATCTTTCATCCAAATTAGATTGTGGACCACATTAAGAAGCATTTGGCTCATATATCTCAAACTGCTCATCATATATTTAAGCTGATAGTAATTTATCAGCTCCTTTGAAATACATATTGTCTGTTCCTTCTCCCACTTAAAAAGAAATCAGTCTTGACAGAGGTCTACCATTTGATTAGTCTTTTCAAAGAACCTTTTTTTTTAATCATTGCCTTGTTTTCTATTTAATACTTTATTTCTATTTAATACTTTATGTCTTTTACTATTTCCTTTCTTGTATTTTTTGGGGTTCGTTCTTTTTCCATCCTTCTGAGTTGAATGCTTGGCTTATTAGTTTTCAATCATTCTTCCTTTCTAAATATATGCATTTAAAAGTATAAAATTTCCACTGAGAACTGTTTTAGTATAAAGCAGTATTTAGGTGTAAAGTTTTCCTGTAAGTTTTTTGTTATTATCATTCAATTCTAAATATTTTATACTTTCCATTATGATTTTTCTGAACAATGAATTATTTAGAAGGTTCTAGGTTTCCAAACACGTGGGCTAAAATTTTTAGAGGGCTGCCTTTTTATTATTGATTCCTAACTGCACAAAATTTTGGTTAGCGACTGTGACAGCAATTTTAGTATGTTGAGACTTCTTTGTGACTCCAAACTGGTTGTATTCTTTGTAAAAGTTCTAGGTCATGCTTTATCATGTGTTGGGTATTATACTTGTTTGACCACAGCTCATTAGATCACACTTGCTAGCTATGTTCAAACTGTTTATATCCTTCCTAAGTTTTTATCTATTTCATCAGTTTCTGAAAGAGGTACTTTAAAATTTACTATAATTAGGGATTCGTGAGTCTCTCCTTGTAATCCTGTCCTATTTCATTATGTTTTGTTTTTGTTTTAGATGCACATAGTTTCAGAAATCTTTTTCTAGTAGTGACTCTTTCCTTCTGTCACTATGTATAGATTCCTTTATCTTCAATAGGTTTTTTTGCCTTAAAGTCCATTTTGGTCTATATTAATATTCTTATACCAGCTATTAATTTTTTTAAAGTTAATATTTGCTTTGTTTTTTATTAATATTAATGATATTAATAAAAACAGCTAAAATATGTATTGAAAACTTACTATATGCCAGGCAATGCTCTGAGTGCTTTTTGTATATTACTTTATTTAATTCTCACAACAATCCTGAGGTAGATATTATTATTTTCCCCATTTTTACATGCAAACAAAAAAACACAATTATAAAGTCAGTTAACAGATATTCTTCTGCTCCCTAAAAATTATAGGAATCTTAAAACACTTTAGCTTCTTCCTGCTCCCTCATCAGTATTCCGTGCTATTATAGTCTATTATTTGTTTTTAACCCTCTCAAATTGTTTGTCTTTTGCTTTATAGTGAGCAGAATTTGTAGTCACATTTTTGTAATTAGATTTATAGTAAATTTACCAACATGTTTGCTAATTTATTTTTCACCATTGCTCTTTGCATTCCATTCCTTTACCTGAGGCTGTTTACTTCTCCAAGTACATTTTTTAGTAGCCCCTTCAGGGAGTCTCTGTGAATGGTAAATTCTCTCAGACTTTGTCTGAAAAAAAATCTTTATTTCATCTTCATTTCCTGAATAAAAAAATTCAGCTGTGATTTTTATTTGGTATTATTCCACTTCCTGCTGGAGTCTGTTGATATAGATGAAAAGTCTACTATCAGTCTGTCATTCCCTTGTGGGTTATATGTCTTTTTCTCTGGTGGCCTTTAAATTTTTCTCTTTGTCTTTGACAGTTTGCAGTTTTACCATGATATGACTAGGTGTGGATTTGTTTTCATTCATCCTGCTCAGACTAAGCATGCTATTCCAACCTGGAAATTCTCATCTTTCCTTAACTGTGAAATTGAAGTTATGAAAAATTGATAGTCCTTTTATCTTAGAATACTGCCTCAGCCCATTCTCCTTATTTCCTCCTTGTGGACCTCCTATTTGATGTATGTTGGAGCTTCTTATTCTATTCATCATTTCTCTTTACCATTTTATCATATTCTCCATTTCTTTATCTCTGTGTTTTTACATTGCTGCAGTCTGGGTGATTTCTACAGATCTATTGTCTAATTCACAAATACTCTCTTTGACTATGCAAATTTGTTGTTTATCCTTCTACTCTAATTATTAAATAATAAGTCTGATGCATCCTTCCTCTTTACTGAAAAGCATAATAGTTTGGAGAAATTTGCTAAGGGGTAGGGGAGGGCAGCAATACAATGATAACACACACAAAAACGTATATAACAATGAGAAATATATATGATGATAAGTAAATAAATATATATCTCTCAAAAGTACAAACTGGAATCATTCACCCCGTTTTTGGCCCACATGTAGAGTCTAAGTAGAGGGAAGACTTAGAAACAGATTTTTCTTTCTAAGTACAAATGTATTTAAATTTAATAATAAATCATCTGTTCACACAGTACACAGTTCAAATGTATATAGAAAGTACATATAAATACCTAGAGGAAGAGTATAACAGAAGGAATATAGGCTGAGAGACCTGAAAGTGCAATGACCTTGTGGCAGGAAGGGGTTTAACATGATTGATGAGTAGCAAGAAAGTAAGAGTGGTTATAGTGTAAAGGGTAGTAGAAGGGTAGTAGGAAAGGAGATAGACGAGGTGGTCAGGTATTTGATGATGTATGGCCTTAAAAGTCATAAAGTTTTGAATTATATCCTAAGTGTGATGGGAAGTGAATTGCACTTAAAATGCCCTTGAAAATGCTATTTAAATAAAAGTGCTTATTTAAGTTGCATCTTATGTTTTGTACAATATTTAAAAACTGAGAATTGTTAATAGAAGTTATGAGATCATTTGGAACTTAAATTACTTCATAAGAGTCACGCTTTCTTATTTCTAAAACATGTATAAGATGACATATTAGGACAAGCAATGTAATGATTAAAAATGACATAATGTGATATAAGATCCTAGAGAATTCTATGTTGAGACTTTTGTATGTGAGATACATATATCAAGAGTATATGAAACATATATATGTACAGTTTAATGAAACAGTATAATCACTATATAAGTTAAAAAATAGAACATTACCAGCACCCCAGGAACACTTGCTATATGACTTTTTAAAAAAGAGCTTACTTAGTACTATAATCTGTGATAATTATCCACTTAAATGTCAACCAGGATCATGTGACCCATCTTTTTATGGGCAAAAGGAATGTTCCCTTAAGTCCATATTTAATTTCAATATGGAAATTGAATACATATCCACTTAAAATCTATTCATATTTCAGTATAGAGATGTGCCATCTCTAAGGCACTAATTTTTAATTTTAAACAAAAGATATATTAAGTGTATTAAAAACAGAGCTTGAAGAAAATGTATACATCTTCATACATTTTTGTGAAAGCAAACCTAATAGTAATAGCTTTAAGATAAAAAGCATTTAATTAAAGTAAAATAAAAGTCATTCAAAAGTTCAAGATCTCATTAAGGGTTTCATTACAACAAATTAGGTAAAATGAGATTTCTTTGTTTCTGTGTAGCTTCTAGTATATTCTTAGCACTCAATAAATGTTAAACAATAAAATATGAATTAGGCTAATCATAGCACATCTAAAATATATTTTATTAAATTTGAGCCTACTTAGAATTTTATATTATAGAAACCTGACATGTCACTGATTCATGACCTTTTGTAATATTAAAAAGTAAACCTATGAAATCTAGATTCATATATCTTTTAAATATTTTAGCAATAAACTACGAGAAAACAAGAAATACGTGTAGTCAAAATTAAACTAAATATTTTAAAATAAACAATTTCATATTGAAATTGGGTTATTCTCTAGTGGAAAACCCTACAAATTTTTTTGCAAATGCACTTAAGATAGTAAAGGAAAAGAAGGGAATGAAATATAATAAATAAAAGCAAGCTATATAAAGATAAACAAAATGTGGATAAAACTAAATGGACAACATGACTAAAAATAACATTTAGAAGTAGCTCTCTTAAACTGTATTGCAGCAGTACCTGAATTATATGCCTTTTAATTTATGCACATGATGGATAGCTTGTTAAGGGGTATATCTGTAACCACTATAATTGATAGTAGCTGAAGGCAGTCAGACCATAATTTCTATTTAATGGATGGAAGAGTAAGGGAACAAAGTCTGCAGTAGCATTTTAAAATAAGTGCCTAGAAAGTTTACATTTATGTCCAAAGTAGTACCTATATTCTAGCCTTCTTTATGTTGAATTCCTTAAGAAAAAAGAAAAAAATCAGCTGCAGCAAGATCCATATACTATTAAATAAAAATTCTGATTTAACCAATAACTAGAAAAATATTACAATAAATGAAAAAGAATGTTCAACTAACCATTTGATGGTTCATTTTTGTGCTCTTGTTCTTTAGAGCTTGCAGGAGAAGCAAATGGGCTCATCTGACAAGTTCCAGTTGTTGGAGAATAAGTTGTAATACTTTTCTTCCTTGTGATTTTTGAAGAATCAAATGACTGAAAATAAAAATTAATTTGAGACAAAAATACTTATGTTTAGTTCTTTGAGAACGCCTTTTAAAACTTGTAAAATTCAAACCAGTATTATTTTCCTTGCTTTTTCTTTTCAGAATTTAAATACGATCAATTACCACCTCCAAAATGAACACTATTCTTAAAGTCTTAGAGATATTTCAGGTCTCCACACTGATTAGGGCATCTCAATTTGATATCTGTGAAAATTTAATATTAAAGGTTTACTGCCTTCTGAGACGGTATTTCCAAACAGTTTAGAGATGGCTAACTCTTCCAGTTATATCCTGACTTTTGCTGTCTGCTGAACCTGAAGTATAATTATGGGGCTAGGCCAGGGAAACTCAGAAGTTTCTTATAGTAAAATCCACAAGGAAATTCTAGGAGGGCTAAGTGCTTTCTTACACCTTCACAAAGTTGCTCTGACATAGTGACTTCTTAAGAATAACCAAAATAATGTTGGAACATTATTTAACAATTGTAACATATAATTGAATATTAACATATTCAAATAATGTTATTTGAACATTATTAACATTTAAGGCCCTTGAGAATTCGGCCTATCCTACAGGATATCCTCCTATCCTCTCCTCTGTGTTCCTACACACCTTGTGCATACCTCCTCCAATAAAATTAAAAATTATTTTAATAATTTTTCACATTTCTGCTGCCCCATTAAAATCTGAATTCCTAAAAATAAATATTTCTTCATCTTTGTGCCCTAGAACTCAAAAATGTATAATGAATGAATGATGTAAAAGGAACAGTCCAGTAACCTTGGCCAAGCCACTATGAATTCATTCACTTGTTCATTAGTTCATTCATCTAGTATGAAATGACACCTGTAGTCCCAGTCACTGAGATTATACACATTTGGGCCTCAGCTCATTCTGTGATCCTAGGCTGGAATGCCCTTTCTTATCTTTCCCAGATCAAATCTTCCTTTGGTTTAGGTCCCCATTTATGATCCACTTCCTCCAACCACCCATTATCACACAATTAATTGCTTGCTCTTCTGAATTCCTTTTAAACTGTTTTCTGTAATGCTTACTAATCACCCAGCACTTGCTAACTAATGTGTACAAAGAAAGAGAAAAAACTGTTCTGGCCTCATAAACAGCAGGGAGGAGGTCTTAACAGTAGTATGGGTGCTACAAAAAGTGAGAGGAAAGGGAAAATCAAAGTGGGCTGCAGTAACTTTACAGAAGGATTCTTGGGAGAAAGGGTGAGGCTCAGATAAGCAAAAATGAAAGGTATGAAAAACCTGAAATCTAGAGGTGCTACAGATGGCACAGGCTGGATTCGGGGGATAAAAAAAGGTCTGAAGGCTTATGATGTTACTACTTACATTGTAGAATTAAACTTTAGTTTGGTAGCTGACTTGAAATAGTTATGTAATTCTCCATTGTCAACGATTCTTTATTTCTAAGACACCCTGGCAGAAACAGTGGCTGTGTCTCCTTTTTCAATAATCTTGGTATTAGTTCCAGAATCTATAGCATCAATTTTTTTTTTTTTACAGTTAAGGTTTTAAATGATAAATGCTTTTTCATATTGGAGAAACAGAAGGCTTTCCATTCTTTATTTTATATATCCGTAGTAGCCACAAATGTAACCAATATCTTTTTAAAAATCAAACTATCATATCAAGTTATAACTCTAAGGCAATCTTTTTTGTAGGGTGAAAAGGTTTTAAGTCTCTTTATCAGGTGGTTATTATTACCTCTCCATCTTGAGTTTTCACCTGTTTATATGTATTTAGTCATAAACTATGACATTTATCCAATCCTACCCTACCTTTCCAAGAATCTATTGCCTAGAACTATTTTACTATGTATGTACAAGAAATGAAAGTCACTACACTAATGTACATTTATGTCAACCTGTTTTCCTATTTTATCAAAAAATTATTTTTTCCAAATGCCAAATATCTAAACATTACAACTATAGATCATACATTTGTCCTCGAAAACCATTTTCTAGCTTTCACAAAATAAGTCTGTGTGTGTGTGTGTTTTCCCCCTCACCTTAAAATACTGAAACTTCTTGGAGGGGGCGAGAGAAGGGGAAAAATACTGAGGCTTCTCTTCTGCTTTCTATTTTTGGCCATCTGTGTTGGAAAAACGTCTGTCTACAAATACTATACAAAGAGGGAAAAATGAAAATCTACCTTCCCTTACTATCCCACTAAATGTTCTTCAGTAAATAACACATTTTTATATACCTGACTACTGATACGCAAAGGCATAATCTTACTTCTCTAAGATTTTTTTTTTCCCTCAAAGTTTTATCAAGGTCCTCTAACTTTAAAACCCTGAAGATGCTTAGAAGTGATCCTAGAACCCATCTAACCCACACCAGGAACAGTTAAGATTGGGATTTCAGGGAAGACTGAGCTACTAACTGAGAAGTCCGGCCTTCTTTCCACTCAGCAATGAGAAGTGCTAGCTACCAGATCCTTTTGAAAACAGAGGAAGAAAAAGTGAGAAGACTAGATTGGGCTAGAGAAGGGAAGGAATTCAGGATGTGAATAAAATTAGGAAAAGAGAAATCAGTAAGTCATAATTCTATAATAATTTATAACTGCTTATAATATTCAGTGATGCCTTAGAGATATTTAATGCCACTATTAAAAAAAGACTCTCTGATCAGCCCAAATACCACTGTACTTTTTGTAAAGCGGTCAAACCTTGTATATTAGCAAAACTAAAATTTGGGCATTGATTTTTCTGTCTAAAAAAAATGAATGTTCGCTTCATAATTTCAAATACAGATGGCATTCTCCAATATTGTTCACAAATTGTAGCTTGCTTTGTCACTTTGTTTAAAGCATATTCTACCAAAAAGGTGCCTGTATTGCATTGATTTTTACCTATCATAAACAGTCTAGAAAGTACTAACTAAGGGTTCTTTCGGCATGAAATATGATGGAAAGGATCTGCTATTATTATTATGAAGTACTACCCTATGCTATCAGTGAAATATTTAAAACACAGGTACTATAGATATTTGAATAACCAGAAACAAAAGAAAAATTAGGGCAACTAAAGGGAGATAATTCTTTATGACCTTACACTGGTTAATTAGGTCATTGGAATGTCTTACCTAAGACATTATTATAGATTACTATACTATTATGGAACTTATATTAAAATACTCCAAATACTAGCTGTTTCAGGTACTTTTCACAATTTGGGCCTAGGATTCTCAGTACAGTCCTAGAGATCAACCAACTTCTTATCACCTACCATGATTATCATCCTTAATGGTTCTAATAATGTTGGGGTTTCATTGTTATTTGTAATAATAGTTATGGAAGCAAAAGCATTTTGCACTAATCTCAGTGATCTTACAGGGATAGCAGAGAAAGAATATAACCAATATATTAGCTCTGTGGTGATAGAAATTTTGTATTTCTTGATTGGGTGTTTGATACACCTTTGTTAAAAACTCAATGGAGGGCGCCTGGGTGGCTCAGTTGGTTAAGCGACTGCCTTCGGCTCGGGTCATGATCCTGGAGTCCCTGGATCGAGTCCCGCGTCGGGCTCCCTGCT